GCAGGTCCATTTAATCTTTGGAATACGTTCCCCTGGCCATAAGTCTGTAACAGAGCAATTAGAACATTTGTTACTTCTAGAATTTAGAAAACCTTCATCAGGTAACCAGTACTTCGGCAATTAGTTTGAGTGCACAACAATAAAGTACAGAAAAATCCCAAATCTGAATCCTCAATCTCATAAATTGTTGAATATAAAAAGATGAAATGAAATTAACATGGGGCACATATACTACCTTAGGTGATGGAAGTCTAAGGACTCTCAAGGGTGATTGTGGTTTTAGCAATCCACTTTTCCATGGAACCCTCTCCTGAAATTTAGTTTCCTCTTGGAACTGATAATTTTCTTTCTCATTTACAGTACTTCTAAAGTCACTAGGAGCGTAATCCCCTTTGATACCTTTATTTATGAAATGCAACGCCATAGTCTCAAACGCCATCTTTTCTTGCCCACCTGGCTTGTTCATGGGGTTTTGAAGTGGTGTAGGAGGTGGAAGGCCCGGAATTGGGTTGCTCGGAATTGCAGGTTGCTGCTGTTTTGATTTTGCAACCTGTTCATGCTTCACGGCTAAAACCAACTTGAACCCCTCACCTTACAAAATTGATAGGTTTTAGCCCCTAACCTTATAATATGACACTTTTAATCCTTTACTTTGCAAAGTTGATAGGTTTTAACCTCTCACCTTACAAAGTTAGTAGGTTTTAGCTCCTCACCTTATATTATGACACTTTTAGCCCCTTATCTATACAAATTGAAGAAAACAGTCCCGATTTAACATTAGGTTATAACGTTCTATTAATTCTGTTAGCTGATTGTTAGTTTTATTAACTAACTGTCAGTTTTATTAACTGACTATTAGTTCTGTTAGTTGACTATTAGCATCCGTTAGCATTCCGTTAATGGAACTAACAAATAAAATTGAATTTATATTTCATATTTTTTACAATGGAATACTAACGGATATTAATATCAACTAACAGAACGGTATAACCTTATGTTAGGTGAGGGCTATTTTTTTTAATTCGTATCGATGAAGGGCTAAAAATATCATAATATAAGGGAAGGGATTAAAACTTACAAACTTTGTAAGGTAAGGGGCTAAAATTTATCAAATTTGTAAGATAAAAGACTAAAACTGTCATATTATAAAGTGATGAGTTAAAATCTATCAATTTTATAAGGTGAAGGGCTAAATGTTGGTTTTTGCCCATGCTTCACACTCTCTTGAAGCTGTCTTATTTGACTTTCTAGACGAGCTATCTCCCCATCAACCATGGCTAACTCTGTTAAGAGCTCCTTCACCGATAAAATTCAAGAAAAAGATAATTAACTCGTGCAATTCTTTTTTCCTTTTTTTTTTTTTGAACATATTTGCAAGGGGCGGGTTTCGAACCCAGCCCGTGGAAGGGGAATGCACCGAAATGGCTATTGCCACTAGGCCGCAAGGGCCAGGTGCACTCGTGCAATTCTATTAGTCATGAATTGTATGAAATTTAAATTTGCATCAAGAGAAAAGTTAATTTCCATCTGAAAGTATATAGGATCGGTGTAAAATCAATCATCAGTAATACACCAACTTAATTTTTATATAAACATCTATGTAATCATTTTGTAACGAAAAAGAATCTAATGATATAAGTCAATTTTGAGTTCAAACTTTCGCAGACTTCATCTACTAATCAAAAGAAAGTTTGCCCAAGGTACAGTTACTTTCGGATAATTTTATGTCCTATCAACAAAATTCTTGAAGAACATCAATGTACTCTTTGGCACGATTAAACTTCAATTAGCAATGAGTAGACACTTACTTACACTCATGATTAACAAAAAAGAAAAGAGCTTCTTTAGCTAATTCAATTAATTAACCCTCCAAATTAAACTTTGCTGATGTCCTTTAAAATCATCCATGCTTTCCATGTATAAAGAAAGGGAAGAGGGAAAATGACAGTACCCAAATGACAATTATATGCATGCCAGTGGCCCAGTAGATGGAACATATAATGCGTGTGCTTGTACCTCTTTTTCTAGTGCCTTACCTTTTTTCTGCCCACTTGGCCTCTTTTTTACCTAAGAAAGGAGAAAAGGTATAAATATGAATTTTAATTGTGTGTGTGTGTTTTTTTTTTAAACATGTTAATCTTATTAGTTTTTAAATAAAAATATTAATTTTTAATTTTTTTATTTAAAAATTATTAACTTTTAAGTTTTTTTATTTTTATTTGAAGATAACAAATTTTAACTTTTTATATTTAACAATTAATTAGATGATAATCTAATATTGTAAATGAATTTTTTTACTAAAATATTAAAAATTAATATTCTTAAATAAAAAAATAAAAATAATATTTTTGAATAAAAATAATATTTTTGAATAAAAAAATTAAAAATTAATATTTTTATTTAAAAATTGATAAAATTAATATTATTAAATAAAAAAAATAAAATTGATATTTTTATTTACCAATTTTATCAAAGAAACACCATGGGAGCAGTATCAAATTAAATCATGCAATAACGCAAAACCAAATTTAAGTATACTTACAATCTGTCAATCTCCAATTGCACGTTGTTAATGGGTAAGTTGCTGCCTTCGCCTCCCGATGTCGTGTAAAGAACAAAACAGCTTCAACCCAGCATTGATGATTGGTTGAGACATTTAAACAAACAGTTGATGCTCACACATTTTGCGATGAAATTACAGAAACGTATGTGACTAAGAAGAACATTGAAGCTTAATTATGAGGCAAAGGAATTTCGCCAAGGGCGGTTTTTGACCGGCGTTCGACGGTCTAGGGCAACAACATGCAAAGGAGCTTTCAGGCGAGAAATGTTTTTCATCGCCACGTGATTTCTTGATTGATGAATCTGCTTGAAATTTATGTGGTTTGACAAATCTGTTACAAACAAAACA